ATTAAGAAAAACTATCTTGAATACTATTATTGTAGGAAGACGACCACAACAAATTCCACTTTTGCAATTTTTGAAAACTATGGGATTTCTACGTACATATGACCTGCACCATTCTCTTAAGTTCTGTTCTTCACGCTATATAAAGACAAAGTTTGATGGAAAAATTGGTGTCATTTTTGAGAAAGTTTTGAACATGTTTTTGAGGCTTCATGTACATTACCATCAAAAATTAAAATATCTATTTGAAACTTAAGTCTAGAGTTCATTCAGATCTACCTTGGAATATTAATTTTGAAGAATATCGACAAAACGCTTTAGGCGCTAGCGTTGACCAAAACGCTTGAGATCATTCCGCTGCGAGCAGTCTCGCAGTATAGACTTACGCATACAGTCTGCTCCTCGCCTCGAACCTGTGTTCTGTGTTTCAATGAAAGTTATAGTGCTATAGCAACAGCTATGAACAACTCTCACGAATAGCGTGGTAATTCAAAGAAATTAGTGCAACATTTTCAACCGACAACGCTGGCATTCGCCAGTGTATTGTAGATGCCCTTGCTCACGTCTAGTCGACCGAGGACGAAATGGAGGTCCAAGAAGGCGACGCCTGTCAAACATCATTCCAACAAATTCCAGAGCATCTACTAGAACATCAACCAGATCAGCGGTTACCTCTACCCCCATCGCATCAGCCTCACATGTTAAGTGGAATAATGCCGCTTGACAATGTTAACGGTGAAGTAAATAAGGTTAGTAACTATATGCCGGCCAACGGCACTGCGAACTAATTTCCCAAGAGCCCAGTGGCAAGCCAGGGCATAGTGATCCAAATGTAAACATATAACCAAACAAAAAATCGTGTTTAGCCCTTCTCAAGATTATGGTTTTCCTCTTAAAAATAGATTTGACCCTTTAAGGGACCTGCAAGAAAATTAATCAAGTTCCGTAGCCCGAAACTTCACTCTTCCTGAAAACTCCGAAAATATTAGAATCCCTTCCATCCATATTACAAATATTGAAAACGTTATAGAACTAAACAATGAAATTAAAACCCACATCATTAACCAATTTACATAAACCTTCAGTAACAGCGAAGCAAAAATTAACTTTATCCAAATAGAAGATTTCAGAAAAGCAATTAAATATTTTACAAGCACTAATAAACACACTCACAAGGACCCAACCAACAAAAAGTTCTCTGTGGTCTACAAAAACATTCATCCGTCTATTTCTCAAGAGGAAATATACGAATATCTAAAAGCTAAACATTCTTCCCTCATTAGTATCACCAGATTACACAAGAACAATTCACCAATCGCAGTGGTAGCCGCTGAATATTCAGGAGAGCAGGATATTGAAATAATTCTCAAAACAAACGTAATATATAATCTAAAAGTAAAAAAATGAAAGAAGGCGTAAAGGTATAGGACCAATACAGTGTCTACCATGTTTGGATTTTAGGCATTCTAAAACAACTGTAACAATCTAATTTCTTGTACATACTGTTCTGAGAATCATTATTCGGTCTCATGCCCTCGAAAGGACGACCCTCCGAAATGAAAAACTGTGACGGGGTGCACAGAGCTTATATCCGAACAATAGAATGATCACATTTTAAAACAATTTTGGAAAAAAATAAAATAAATCCCACCAAGCACCACAAAAGTCAAGAAATAACCATCAATCCCCTCCCCTAATACCACACATCCTCTTTCCAATTTACGTAACAAGATCCGCATACCTAACTTCAGCTATGTATCAGCAACTAACCAGTAATCAAACAACACCACCCGTAACCAATCACATAACAACTCCCAAAACTATCTCCCCCAAAATTACTCATCTCAACACAGTTTCTTAAATTCTCCATTCGTACACAATATCATCACTTCCATATTTGCACAATTAATATTATTAACTCTAGTATACCAGTCATTGTTCAAAATATCCAACAAGCCATAGCCTCCTGTATTATCACTACCCATAGCGCACCCTGAATTCAATAATTCATTAACTCTAATGAATTGGAATGCATCTAGCATCAGCAATAAAAAAATATAACTACAGTATTTTTTACAAGCCAACAACATAGACATTGCTTGCATCACTGAATCACATCAAAAACCTCCTTTTAATTGTCCAGGATATGACGTAGTTAGGCAAGATAGAATACGCTCACCAGGCGGCGGCGTCCTTATTTTAACCATAACTACTCCCCCATATCACCACATCAATCAAATGCCTATCAGTGGGCTTGGACTAACGGCATTTTCTCTCACCTGTATAAATGTAACTATAATTGCAGCTTATAAACCACCCAATTTAAAGCCTAATTTCGCCAGCGTAAGTAACGTAATCACACCTCAGTCACCCACTATACTCTTAGGTGACATCAATGCTAAACACACTTCCTGGGGGTGCAGAGTCACCAATGCCGCTGGATCCCTACTATACAATCATATACGTACTAACAGATTATGATTAATATCTCCCCCTGAACCCACCGACTATCCCCCTGACGCAAACAAGTTTCCTGCTATTTTAGATATAGGAATAACCAACTTAAAGCCCAGTTGTACTCAACTCCTCACATCGAGCTCGACTCGGTCCATATTCCTGTCATTATTGCCACAGATGAGACTCTCCCCCCACCTACACATAAATCAGTTTTTAACACCTACAACTTAAATTGGAACAAATTTAAGAAAATAGTTCAATCTCAAACACCTAAATTTAAAATCCTAAACACCTCGTCTGAAATAGATAAAGCAATAATAAACTTAAACAATCTAATAACAAAAACTGTAAACACACTAAAACCCGAAAATCCTACCACACTACGGAAAAACGGACCCATTAAACTGCCCAAAAGCTTAATTGAAATAATTCAAACCAAAAATAAAACGAGAAGACTCTGGCTAGCTCTTAGAGCACCCAATTTAAAATCAAAACTAAATCTATTAACAAATATCTCCGGAAAAGCCGTAGCAGATTTTAAACAGACCAAATATAACCATCTAATACAATCTCTAAACATTCAAAACAATTCAATTTAGAATTTTACTAAAAGGATACTAAGAAAAAAGTTTTAGCCGATCATTTTGCCGAGACATTCAACCCCAACATCTCCTCTCCCCATCTTGCTTCATGGATTATGAATTAAATTTTTTGTACGTAAAGAATTGTTGTAATGTTTATCCTAAATTCTATAGTATATTATTGGATTCTATGTGAGGACGTGTATTAAAATATTTCGTTTACGGCAATGCTATAAAATATTTTTTTGTACTGTGTGCATGTTATTTTTTGAAAAAAACATTCTTGTGCAGTTTTATTTGCATCATTTTTGCTGCAGCATTTTTGCTGCTGAAAGAGATCAGTCGTCATTAAATGACATTATTAACTTACACATGCAGTTTTGTAGCGTTTTTTGATACTAATAAATTATATTTACAAGGTTTATTGGTTTGAACTTGTGTACGTTGATGTAACAGCCACCATTTCGAATTTATTACTTAGCTACATTCATTCAGTCATGTAATGTCATAGTTTATAATGTAATGCACCTGCTGATTTTAGATAACTGTCACTTTTTAGTTCATTTGTAATCGGAGATCTCCAGAAGCGGTGTATCTTAATGGTATCTCTTGCTTTGTAAGCTAAAGATCCCGTAAATAAAGTCGTAGGCTTCACGCAGCACCCGACGTGACCCCCTCGGCCCAGACATGAATATATACCCTAGCGCTGACCATCACGGCGCATACCAGCCCTGAGGAAGACCACGACAGGATGGTCGAAACGTCGGCAACACAGCCTTCAATGCGGCGTCATCCGGACAGCCCAGATCACCTAAAGATCCCGTGTTTGAACAACGGCGTCCCCAAAACTATTTCTAGACTAACGCAATACGATACTGTTGTCACATGTGATATTCCAAAAACTCACAGAATAATGAAGTGAAGATCTGTTTTTAGAGACCTGTAATGTAAGTGCGAGGTTACACTCTTTTGAATTCTGAAGTCATGAAGAGCCACAGGTGAATAAGCTAGATGTAACCAAGCCCGATGTTACATCTGTTCCTGAGAACCTGATGTTCACTAAGAATGCAGGAGGCAGCAACATACATTTTTAATGATTACCGGACTGTAAATTTATTTGTTTCTAGTTAGTTTCAGTGCTAATTAAGGTCTAGATGAATCCTTTGCTTTCTGCGGTGATACATTTCGTGAACAGCGGGTGGGGAACATGTATTTAAAAATTATTACTACTCTCGTTAACGGACGGCGTACTTTTGGGATTACCGTCGTAAGTCAGTGTCGCGGCAGCTGGTTTGAATTTCGTGTTCGGAAGTAACATTCACTCTCAATTATCTCGATGATATTATTATTGGAAACAATGGATCATTTATTGAAATTTCACACAGAATCTGACGTATTTTTCTAACGGAGCTCCCGGACACTGTGTTAGTCAATGCGTGATAGGCAACATAAACCAAATGAGTGTGCAGCACAAGAAAGGTGTAACGATATGATACCGCCACATGGTATTGATGTAATTTGATGATGGCAATGTCTGAGTAAAACAATTTATTGCAGGAAACTAACTGTATTTGACAGAAGGTTTTGAAGAATGGGTTCAATTCTGATTAGAGCAGAATTTAGATACTAGTGCAAATATGATTGATTACCCTTTATTTGGTGGTACTGTATGATTGATTCATATTATATCAAAAATTCCTTTGAAAGATATAAACTGTTTCAAAGCATTCGAAGCGTACACAAAATATTTGAAATGAGAATAATAATCTTTCGGCGAAGTTGGCTCGCTTTGCATTTCCAAGTTGCAAAGATCTTGCCTTCAGTCTCCACAACTTTTGTATTTGCAACACATACTTTTCAATGCATTAACACTCCTTAAATAGCATAATATGCGTTTACCGTTCTTTCCGTGGCTCTGCACGCTGACATGTTTCGTTGAGATGTCCGTCGCAATCACGGCAATCATCACTGACGGCAAGTAACGGGAGCACATCCCCTTTTCGATTCCACGCTCTGCACCTGCCATGCCAAAAACATTTTAATATTCAGTGGCTTTAATGCACAACGAAAATGTTCTTTCTCATCACGTGGCTCTTCCAGGCCTCCATGTTTAAACATAGCACGCATATTCGATTTACTCCTTGGAGGAAAGACGGCTCTGGGGAACAGCTGTTGCCACTGGAGCGACTCTGCCTGCGAAAGAGGGCGTCCACCAAAACGTATTCCCTGAAACCTCCAACAACCCGAAATTCGGATCGGAGTTCAAGAAGCGCCAAACGCTTTCGCTATTTTGTCACCTTAGTTGCGTTTGAAATCCAACCTAAGACTCTACCAATCTTATCCTTAACCTGTCTAATGTTCGAACAAGTCAGAATGGGTTTTACTGCACTCGAAGCTTACGAACCCTTCTACCGGATGAGTTAGCTCAGAGCGAGCCTGACTGCTGTATCTGCAGCGACTCTGACCGGAAGGTCCAAGAGTTCGGCTCCCGACGGAGGCGAATAATCGGCACTAGCTATACAGCTAGGCTGAATTCAACTGCTGTCTGCAGAAGAATTCTTGTTCTCGCTGCTCTGAGTTTTTTTATGGCTTCTACGATCAACACCACGCGAATGTCAGAACATGTGCGATCTTTCCTTCCTCTTCCTGGCCCATGTCCTATTCTCTCCCCTTGTACACGCACTTTAGTTGGATGTATTGAACTACCACACATGCCAGGTGACCAGCCAGGAACTTACAGCTTGCCCCGCGTAGGGGAGTGCTCCTCTGGAGGAGATATCTGTAGAGAAAATTACCCGCAAGCCGACGGCGGTAGATCGACGCTCTCCGTCATCCAGCGGGGAAGTAACACCGCCACCACCTGGGAGAACGGGTGCAGTACACCAACGGGAGTAATGAGCTCAGCAGCTGCCGTACCCGGAAACAATAATACGAATCCTGGTATTGCCACTATGCAATCATTTCTCGCAGTGACTCATTTTTAGAAATGTTTCTCAATGCTAGTACCAATGAAGGCCACATGCGTTGCGCACCCTAACAGCCAATCCTGGCCTGGGCTCTAACCGGCTGCCGGGAGATAGCGTCTGGCAGCTAGTTCACGCTTATTCGCGCCCGCAACATTCGCGTGAACGCCGGTTCGCGCCCCCCAGCGCCACTGCGCTGAGGACGGACGCGGCCTGACTTACTGCGCCGCCGCAGCCGCCGTGGGCGAGTGCCCGGTTGACAGCCCGCGACGACGACGACGGCAGGCCGGCGCCGGCGGCGGCGACGGCAAGCACGATAAGCGCCGCGCGAATGAGCGGCGCCAGCCCGCCCCGCCCGCGGCTGTTCCGCTGCTCGCGCCGCCAAGCCGCCCGCCCGCCTATTGCGCACCCCCACCCAGCTCCGGCGCGCCGCCCCTATCGGCGGAATTCGCAATTTACCACTCGTCCGCCATGGTCTTCCGATTTGCCGTCCCCCGCGCCCGCGTTTTTATCGGCGCTGCCGCCGCCGCCGCTGCATAAAAACGCTGGCAAGACACTTACAAATCAATGGGGCGCCCGCTGCGCCGGGCGTGGCGCGGCGGGCGAGACGGGC